CCGACTCAACTCGCCGAGTCTCAAGGACAACTCGGCGAGTCCAGGTTTGACTCAGTCCACTCGTCATCCTCCCAACTCACCTGACTCACTGAGTCTACCCATGACTCGATTTGGACCACTCGCAGAGCAGTCCCAAGGCAATCTTCAAGCTACTCGCCGAGTCGGATGAACAGACTCGGCGAGTCCATGCCATGCAACCACTCCAACTCGCTTCTAAGGTCAGATCTGCTTCCAAAAACTATAGATCTGGCCTCCCTCAACTGATTCATCACGTAAAGCTCCTATCTTGGTGCTCATAACACACCCTATAACTCAATAATGGCGTTTTTGACCCAAGGCATGAGGATTCCAATCCAAAGCCTCCATTGATCCCCAAAAAGCTTGGGTAAAGGGACACTTGGACCTCTAAGGGTCCATCTATGGTTCCAACCTCATAAGGACCAAAAGAGCACCAAATCTTGCCATAAAAGGGTTCAACAAACCCTAAATCTAGATAAGCAATAACAACAAGAAGGTAACTCGGATTTATTACCCAAAAGTGATGCTCTGGACTCCAAACCCACAGAAATGGCTCCTTCTTGCTTTCCCTTGGCTAGCTCTTCTCCTTTCCTTGCAACAATGGCACCTCCAAGGTCAATAATGGCCTCCTACTTAGCTCCAATGCTCACACTCGATTAGGGTTTCACTCAAGGGGCTGGTGAGCACAAATGACGGCCATAGGCCTTTAAATAAGTCTCAAACCCGAGAAATTAGGGTTTCATTAACACAGTGGACTCGCCGAGTCCATATCCTGGACTCGTCGAGTCCAGGCGCGATCCTGCATCCGCGTCCCTACTCGGGAGTCTGGCTCCAACTCGCCGAGTCCCCCTTACAACTAACAACAAAAATACAACTAACAAGATACCTGATAAAATTCGGCTGTTACATTAATCAAATGTGATTAAATATATTAAATCAAATGTGATTAGATATATTTAATCAAATATGTCATTATTGTGTTCTCGATTCAATCTTTATTTTTTGTCAACTTTAATCATTATTGATTAGATACATATAATCACATGTGATTATATATATATATATATATATATATATATATATATATATATATATATATATATATATATAATCACATAGGTTTCACATGAACAATATTCAATTTTAGGTTTTCGTTTTAATAACTTTTCTCATATATTTAATCACATGTGATTTTAAGTATTTTATCACTTATGATTAATGTTGACATAAATTTGTTTTAATGTTCTTCTTTTAATAGTTGTTCTCGTGTATATAATTACATGTGATTATATATATATTTTATCACATATGATTTATTGAATCAAGTACGTGAAAATAAATATTTTTCACATAAATTGTATGTGATTAAATAAACGAGACCAACTATATATTGGATTAAAAACGCAAAAATGAATACTGTCCACACAAATCATATGTGATTAAATACATATAATCACATGTGATTATATGTAACTAATTACATATGATTTATGTGGACAAGATTCATTATTTATTTCTCAATTCAATAGTTGTACTCATGTATTAATCACATGTGATTATATATATATATATATATATATATATATATATATATATATATATATATATATATCAAATCACATATAATTTATATTGGTGATATTCGTTTTCGCATTTTTTATTCAATATTTTCCTTATGTATTTAATCGTATGTGATTATATGTATTTAATCACATATGATTAATGTGGAAAAAGAAATAATATTGAATCAAAAACGCAAAAATGAATCTTGTATACAGAAATCATATGTAACTAAATGTACAAGAACAACTATTGAACGAGAATGCGAAAATGTATATTGTCCATATAAATCATATCTTATTAGATAGATATAATCTCATGTAATTAAATACACAAGAACAACAACTGAGTCGAGAACGCGAAAATGAAAATTTTCCAAATTTAAAAAGTAAAAGAGTGAAAAAAATCATTTTCCAAAGTAAATGGGTGCAAATAAAATTTCATTTTACAAAGTAGAGGGGTGCAAATTTTCGATGGTAAAAATCGAGGGGGGTCAAAGTGACATTTTAAAAAGTAGAGTGATGTAAAAAGCCTTTCTCCACAAGTGCAAATTATAGGTGGAAACATCCACCTACATTGTGTTTTAATATATAGTTAATTTATATTGACATATATGTAAAAATAAATGTAAAAAATAGTTTTTTTTAAGTTAATGAATTAAAGTTATTACAAAAAATCCAATTATGTATTTAAACATACAAATTTACAAAATAGAGGTTGTGAAAGCGATATTTTACAAAGTTAAAGTCGAGAGGGTCAAAGTGAAAATAATCGTGGAAAATATCATTTTATAAAGTAGAAGGGTGTAAATTGTTAATGGTAAAAGTTGAGGACGTTAAAATGACATTTTAAAAATAAAAGGGCTGAAAAAATCATTTTTCAAAGGAAGGGGGTGTAATTTGTTAGTGGAAACAGATACCGATGTTGTCTTTTAATACATAGTTAATTTATAGAATTGTTTGAAAGATCCTAAGCATTTTGAATATATTTTGGGTAACTTTTGCCAAATTAATTTAAGGTTTTAGTTAAAACTAACTACTAAAATAAGTATAAAATTCAATCAAAATGTGCTTACATGCAAGTAACAATTAATTAAAATAGGAAAATCATGACATCCAAAAGCAAGGAAATTGGATGACTTCTTTATCAAATTGATTACTTTAATTTGGGCCAAGCTTATTTCCAATATGTTTCACCCCTTGACGGCGGCACATGATTCCTTTACAACAAAAGACCACCACTCCACATCTAATGTAAACTCTTTCTGGCTCATAAGTCATAACACTAAAACCCAAAAACATCAAATTAATCTTCACATATATTTCTTTCAAAAGATTCCAAAACCATAAATCGTACCGTTTATATGCGACCAAATTTGAACATTGAAGGACTAATCAGCATTTATGACTATTAAAGCCATGCAAAACTAACACACATATAGATTGATGCAAGTCAATATTTGTTTATGACTTGTCTTAAGACTTACATACCCTTTGTAGGGGTAAATGGGTAACATTTAGCTTTAGCAAGTTAGTTCAATTTACATGGGATGTTCATTTTCCATGGAACGGATGGAGTATAAAGTAACCAAAAGTAGTAAAAGGTATGAAGTGAGTGTGGGTGGGAACCCATTTTTTGCGGCCTTGAGTGGAAAGGAATAAGACCCAACATTCTTGACTTGAGAGTAATTGGCTTTACTTAAAAATGATTCCAAGATTCTATTCCAGTGGAATCACTCTTTCTATTCTTCTCTTTTCCTTTATCCATCAAGAATTACATTCCAAGTCGTTTCTGTTATTTTCTCTTGCATGGGGTGCCAGGCATATGTGGTTTAAAGTCACAGCCAATAAGATTCCAACACGTGTCTTTAAGTTTCTAGATTTTCAAAGGGGGAATATGATACTTAACCATGATACGTTGATATGTTCCTTTACGTGAGCTTCACCATGTCTTCAAAAGACAACTTCAAAGACTTTAGAGTATCGGAGCCTTAAAAAAGGAAATACAAGTACAAAAAAAGAACAAGTACCCATGTTCTAGAGTCCAAAGTTGAAAAGAATATATACATAGGAATAAAGAAACCAACAGCTTCATAAACCTTACTACTTTCCTATAGATGGGTGTAATTACTCTTTTAATCAATAAACCATGACAATTTTTTTTGTGCATAAGTGGTTGGGATAGTATTTTACGCATTTCCAGTTATGTAATATTTTATCATGACCGCATGATGACAAGCTTTTATCATAGAGAGAGATGCAAGTAAACCTTTTAAATGCAAAACAATGGAAATATAAAAGTTTTTTTTTTAAGTACGTACTTAGTAATTTGTGTGTACTATAACTAGAGAGATGATCATTTGGTCTTCAATGACATGAAGTGAAAGTTGTGACAAAAGATAAGAAATATTGTTGGTGTATAAATGTATTTTGTATTCACTGCGCGCATGTTATAAACTAATATGAAGATATCAACGGCAGTTTATGAGAGTTAGACCTACACAAGTACTAAATTAATTTATAGATTATTGAAAACAAATATTGAGGAAGACGTCTGGACTTGGAGATTCATACCAGATTTGCTTCTTCTCATAAAACGAAAGTATGGAGACAAGTACAAGTACAACACATCATTTGATCTTCATTTCTTTTCAAAGGGTCCCACCAGAGTTCAAATTCGTGGAGGCCTTCTGTCCTATAACACCTGAAGAATTGGAAGATTTTGGGTTGAGGGGACCACTTCTATCTAGCCTCAAACTTGAAGGGGGGCAAAACGAATGTGTTCTTATTCCATTTCTCCCCTCCAAGCAGAAGCATCTCTCAAATTTTCTACTTTTATTCTTGTATGCATCTATTCCAAGTTGCGGATGCTTTAGTCAACATAATCTTCTTCTTCCATTTCCTCCATATTTCCATTATGTCGTTATCTATATCCTAAATACAGAAATATGGAGGATAATCATCATCAATAGATCAAGACCAATGCAATGAGATATGAATAAGGATATAAACGTCTTTCAAGTCCCCAAGACAACAAGATAGTGGATAGCCAGTATCCTGGTCAGAAAAGTCATGGAATAAGATTCTTTTAACTTTTATGAATCTATTCCAGTACCCATTGGAAGGTGTTTAGAGTTCTATAGTGCAAAGGAATTAACTATTCCGGTCTGAGAAGAATAAAATAGAGAGGTTGCAAAACAAAGAATTTAGAAGTCACCACAGATATTCGGTGGAAGTTTAGTTTAGTGTTGTTCCTATGCTTCGCTTGGAAAGTACTCCACCCTACCCCTACCCTCACCCAACCCCACCCCACGCATTCTCCGTTTGCTTTATAAGTTGAAGCTGAGAAAAACATCGATATGTAAGAGTTGATCAGATAGGGCAATAAGATATACGTAATAATTATAGTATCAAGGTATAAAGATGTATTATCATCATAATCATCAAGGAAAGAGCATTCATTCTTCATCAAGCATATCAAATACACCAGAAAGGCATTTATTTCTGCAAGGTGGGGGCGATTCAGGACTTGTTCTATCAACTGATGCTAAGCCTCGACTCAAATGGACACTAGACCTCCATGAACACTTCATAGATGCAGTCAATCGGCTTGGAGGAGCAGATAGTAAGTGCATTTCTAAAAATTTGTTTAAAAAAGAGAATAAAAAAAAGTAATGAAAAGAAAAGCTTATAAATATTTGTTTTATATTTTTGTATAGAGGCTACTCCAAAATCAGTTTTAAAGCTAATGGGAATTCAAGGGCTTACTTTATACCACTTAAAGAGTCATCTTCAGGTGCGACACATGCCAACAAGATTTCCTTTTAGAATTATCATTTTAACATATTTTGAATGAATGAAATTAATTTGCATTTTTGGTTAGCAGAAGTACAGGCTCAGTAAAAATCTATATAGGCAGACTAATAATGGTGACACTAATAAAGTTGGTAAGAAATCCAAGAATCCATTTCAAGATGTTTTCTGAGAATTTATAGTAGATGATCATTCAATGACAAGAAATGATTCTGATTGTAGGTATGATCGCAACAACAGGAGATGCCAATGGTGAAACAAATGGAACCCACATGAGCAATTCAAGTGTTTGCCCTCAAACAAACAAGTAAGAGATATTCATTCAGCTGTACATATAAATGTAAATGATAGGGAATAGACTCATATGTTGATTCTAAATTTGTAATACAAATATCAATTCAGCAACTTGGAGATGAGCAAAGCAATACAGATGCAAATTGAAGTTCAAAGAAGGCTACATGAACAACTTGAGGTACAAAAGAAGATTCCAAAAATGTATCTGTCCAGGGTTAAAAATGTTTTCTCAAAGTATGAATATATTCTTTTCATATGAAATAGGTACAGAGACACTTACAGCTTCGCATCGAAGCACAAGGGAGATACTTACAATCAGTTCTTGAAAAAGCACAAGAGACTCTTGGAAAGCAAAACCTAGGTAAAGTAGGAGTTGAGGCTGTAAAAGTCCAACTATCTGAATTGGAGTCAAAAGTATCCACTCACTGCCTACATTCTACATTTTCGGGTATTAAAAATGTGTCGATGCAGACAAATCAGCCAACAGATTGTTCAGACGACAGTATCTTGACTTACTGTGAAGGTCAACAAAGTGAACAAGAGATGATAGGTTTGACCTTTTTAGAATCCAAGAAGGTTGACAGTGATCTGTCTATGACGGTTGGGGGACATAAAAGAAGTGAATGGAACACCAGTAGAAGCTACAATGAAAAAAGATTTATGTATGGGGACGAGGAAGTCATTTTAGAGAATATTGAGAGGCAAAAAAAGTTTCGGTTTCCATATATTGGACAGAAACTGGACCTTAATGCCCATGATGGGGATCATGTAGCTTCAAGTCACAAGTAGTTCGATCTGAATGGAGTTAGTTGGTAACTAACAAGGTGTAATCTTGAATGCAGATTTATCTTTTCTCATCAATGCCATGAACAAGAATTTTGAGCTAGTATCTTGCCCAATGGATGTTTGTTTTACTTGAGGTCCCACAGATGGCACACTGAGTTTATGAAACAGACTAAGAGAATTTCGTAAGAGGAAGGTTTGGTGATTACGTGGTAACAATTACAACGAACAGTCAGACGTACCTAATGGGAGAACCTGAGAGTAAAGTCCGACCGTTAAATCGGTGAGGGCTATATATTAAGTGCCAATTAGTAGCATGGCAACTGGACCGAAGAGTACTTGGGAAATGTAAATGCATCCCCATCGATTTCCCCAATGGGGAATCGGAAATCCAGATTTGGGAACTAAATTCCATGGAAACTCAAGAACGCAAGAAAATAAGGTTTGGAGATGAATGTATATTCTATCTTTCAAAAATTAGTTTTCTTTATGAACTTAATTAATTTTTTCTATAATGTTGAAAACTATCAAATGTGTATTCTCATAATTTAGAAATTTTAGACACCCCCCCCCCCCCCCCCCATATATTTTATTCCATTATGACTTTCCAAAGGAGAAATCCAAAATCATAATGAATAACTTAATATGAAAAAGAAACATTAGGTTTAGACAAATCAAATGACAATTTAACATGTTTGCCAAGTTGATAAGCATGACACAATATAAGAGAATCATTTTTATTACATGAAATGAAATTCTCGGAAACTAAAAACTTGAAGACTTTTTAACCGGATGACCAAGTTTTGATGCCACGTGGATGAGGATGAACACTTAAGGAGTCGGATAAGTGACATGATAGATGTCACCCAAGTTGAAGTTGCCACATTAAAGGAGGGTTTGATGAGTATGGTAATCCTTCATACAAAAACCAAATGTGTCAAATTAAATAGAACATTTGTTATCACGAGTAATGTCACATACATAAATGAGAATTTTCATGATTTGAGGAGTTATGAGGACGTTTATTAAAGACAGAGTGCAAAAGGAATTATTATCGAGAGTTGTTTTACCTGTGTATGTGATACGAATTCGAGATACATCACCAAATAAATAGAAAAATGTTTGCACTTATCACTAAAAGATTTGAGTATACCTAAGTCGTCATGGAGATGTGAAGTCATCCAGTGTCCATATATAAGTTTGGGTATTCAGGGTCTTGAATGTTCCTAGTGCTAAAGGATTGTGGTAAAGTTGTTGCTAGATCATCGAGGCCCGGAAAAGAAAATCATTATAGGTTATTTGGTTGTCCAACTTGACCAACCATAAAATCCCATTGACTATGGGATGTAGGAACCAAATTGGGACATGAAGATGGCTTCCTTGAGAAAGCATATTGATACGTGGCCACTGGACCAAATTAGGTGCTTGCATGGCCCATCATTGTTGTTTGGTCGTTTAATCTGGAACACACATGATGGCATGAAAACACAACACTCCTGCTACTATTTTCGATCGAAACATAAAGGTAGCCACCTCTGTTATTTCGTTGATGGTGATTCTGATCACCGACTCTATTGCCACCAATGGACATGTGGCCACCTTGGTGATTCCAACCACCCCTTCCACGATTGGAATTTTGATTCAAATTTTGGTGATTCACACTAAGAACAGTTTGAGAAGAGGCATTATCGAGGTAATTGGTTTGCACAAAACATTGCTGATTTTGAATAATCCATTGTTCTTCGAGAGGTGAGGAATAACCATAATTCTGAGAAGGTTGGAAATAGGGTTTTGTGATGGAGAGTGGTGGCAACGACATCGTATTTTGGAGATAACTCATTGATTGCATACATCACTAAATTCTTTTCTGAAACGGTGGAACCAATGTTTTCCAGTAAGTAAGAGATGGATTTGATTTGTGTGAAATATTCCAAAATCATGGACTCACTAATGACGATGTTACAGAGTTCATTATCGAGTTCCGTTGTCCTAATGTCTTTGTTTTCTAGAAAAAGGTCTTCAATGGCCTTCCAAACTTGAAATACGGTGGAGTTGTTTGTCAAAATAATTTAGAGAAGAGGTTGAGTAAGAATTACGTAGAGTCATTGTTTCACAATCTTGCACCATTCTGTAACGGTTGGCTTGTTAGAAAAGCCATCAAGATGATCAAATATGGATTAGTCAATGCAATGGGGTTTTGGAGAGTTCTTCGCATGCATCGTAATTCAATCGATCCAAGTCAAAGATTAGGTACATAGGATTTAATTTTGTTAATCTCCTAAATCTTATAAGAAGGGGTCGCCATAAAAGAAGATAGAAGCGTGAAAAGAAGAAAATATATAGAAGATGGTCGATGTATGAGAATGAAAACAACAGGATCAGTTAGGGTTTGGAGAAAGTAGCCTAGTAAACACGTGAGTTTCTATTATCAGAAAAGGATCACATATGATCCCTTTATATAGAGATGAATATTGCAATTAAGTACCCTCTATTTATCATAATTATAATTAACTAAAGTTCTAACATTCCCCCGCAAGTTGAGGGCGGGGAACCCTAGTACTTGGACTTCAAGAACTGGAATCGCTGAGAAGATAAAGGTTTCATAAAGATATCCGCAATCTGATCACTCATAGATATGAATTTTTCAAGAACATTCAGACGACCTTCTGCTACCTGCTTACGAATAAAGTGGAAATCAACCTCAATGTGTTAAGTGTGGGCATGGAACACATGATTTGATGAGAGAAAGGTGGCTACTAGGTTTTCGCACCAGAGAACAAGAAGAGATGTGACTAGTGTCCCTAGTTCATGTAAAATAGCCTTTAACTAAATTAGTTCCGCAACACTATCAAAAAGGGCTTTATACTCATATTCATTATACAATCTTGAAACTAATTTTTTTTTTTTTTTTTTTTTTTTTTTTTTTTTTTGGCATGTAGTCGAGGAGAAAATATTCGATCCCAAATAGATGGAAAATAGCTACCATGGATCGTTGGTCGACTGGGTATCTAGCCCAATCGAAGTTAAAATAAGCTTGAACGGGAGATGTGGCCAAGTTTTGCTGATAAGCATCCATGAAGGCCTGTAAAGAGGAGTCAGACTGATGATGAAGCAAGAGGCCAAGGTTGGTTATGCCTTTTAAGTAACGTTGGATGAGTTTAACAACGGACCAATGATTTTCCGTTGGAGCATGCATGAATTGGCATACGCGATTCACAACAAAGGCAATGTCTGGTCGTGATAATGTGTCATATTGCAAGGCTCAGTCTGTCGATATATGGTAGAATACAGAAGAGGTGGGTTGTCATCAATAGTTAATGGATGAGAAGAGCTCATCGGAGAGTTAATCGACTTACAGTTTGATAGGCTTGATCGATGTAGAATGTCAATAATATATATATATATATATATATATATATATATATAGATTAAAAAGCACCAAATTTCGTTGATGATGAACAACTTCAATGCCCAAGGAATAATGAAGGCGAACAAGATCTTTGATAGCAAAGGTGGAGCTCAAGTTATGTATAACATGATCCATGGTTGGCCAGTTGCTTCTTATGATGATAATATCGTCGACATAGATAAGCACATATACGAGAATACTGCTAGAGTTGAAGACAAACAATGAAGGATCAATTTTGGACCCTAAAATATCAATCCGAAGGAGGGCCTTGGACAATCGATAAAACCATGCCCGAGGAGCTTGTTTAAGACCATAAAGTGACTTGTACAGGAGGCAAACATGGTTTGATTTAGTTGGATCAACAAAACCAGGAGGTTGTTTCATGTAGACATTCTCTTGTAGGTCACCATGTAAAAATGTGTTTTTCATGTCCAATTATCAGAGATCCCAATTGTTGGTCACATCAAGAGACATAATGAACCGAATGGCAGTGAATTTGACTACTGGACTAAAGGTCTCATGATAGTCAACATCCGGTCGTTGATGAAACCTTTATGACACAAGATGTGATTTGTAGCGAGTAATATATCCCTGTGGATCCTTCTTTAACCTGTACATCCACTTACAATCAACCAGATTAGTATTCACTATGTAAGGGACTAATGACCTTGTTCCATTCTTTTCAAGAGCTGGAAACTCCTCACTCATGACAAGATGTCACTCAGGTGATTTGTTAGCAACATCAAAGGTAGTGGGTTCAATGGGAATGGTAGGAGCATGAGTAGAAGTGTAGGCATAAGGTTCAAACTGAGAGGTGTGTGTAGGATTAGGACGAAGATTAAGGGGCTAAGGTCTAAAAGTAAGTGGAGGTGGAGGTGATTAGGATGAGATGGTGGGGGCGAAGATGATAGAGGTGAGGTAAGTGAATGAAGGGGATCTGAAACCACAATTGGTGGTATGTTAGGGAATATAGAAGTACAAGGCGTAGTAGAGGGGTTGGGTGTTGGTGGTGAAGGGATTTAAAATGGAAAAATGTGTTCATGAAAGCGACCATGTTGAACGATATATACACGTTCGATTTGAGGGTCGAAGTAGTGGTAGCTGTGATGGATAGGGCTACATCCAAAGAAGACGCATGGTGGGGAATGAAAATCGTGCTTGTGACGACTGTAAGGATGAAGAGGACGGAAACATTGATAATCAAAAACCCAAAGAAAAAATAATAATTGGGTTTCCAATTGTAAACTTGCTAAAATGGGGACTTGTTTGAGGAAATTCAGGATGGTAAACGATTCACGAGATAAATAGTAGTGTTAAAAACAAATGACCAAAATCACTGAGGAATGAGAGATTGAGAAAATAAGGCTAGACCAAATTCCACAACATGACGGCGACGATGCTCAACGATCCCGTTTTTTCACTTGTACGAGGACATGAGCATTGAGGAACAATGCCAAGTTTAGTGGAAAAAGGAATGAGAGAGCGAAATTCATCTCCCTAATCAGATTGAATGTTTTTTGACTTTGGTGTTGAATTGACGTTCGACCATGGTGGTGAAATTTGTAAAGGTGGAGTAAACATCATATTTGTGATCAAGGGGATAAACCATGTGTACTGAGAATAATGATCAAAACATAAGAGAAAAAAGAGATAACCATCAAAAGAAACAGTGGCGGAGGGTCCCCAAACATCATAATAAACTAAATCCAAAATTTTATTGCTATAAAAGGTAGAGTTATACAATGGAGCGTTTGAAGATTTGTCTAACTGACAAGAGGTATATAAAGAACTAAGTTTAGATGAAACAGGTATAGTGATGGGTTTTATACAAACAATCCTATGTGTGCATGCAACCCTAATTTGATCTATGTTTTCACTATTAGACATACAACTTTATGAACACAAAAAGAAACAGGTATAGTGATGGGTTTTCATTGTTATATAGCAATAACAACTAGTTCCTTGAATTTCCTTAGCTCTTGAAAGCAAGTACCACAAGTGTAGTACCTCTAATGGCTCACAAACACACTATAGGTGAAAGAATGAATATGAGAGAGAGGAAGGGAGGCACGAGGCTCTAGAATTCTACCCTAGTAGGGTTTCTCGAAGGAGTTGGCCGAATTTGGTGCCTTAGGGTGCTATTTATACTTAAGGCTAACTAGG